CCTCTCTGTGGGATTCAGCAGCTTCATTGACCACTGCTCTCACCCCTGAGTCCTTAGGGCTTTTCTGAAGCGCCTCTTTTACAGTAGGCATTAACTTGCCTCTATAATTAATGAGGGTTGCCAACTGAAGAGTGGCCGCAGAGCTTTAATGGAAAGAGCCCAGGAGTGCCCTTCAGGACATCCCATTACCCCTCATCTTGTGGGAGCACACTGCGAATGCTGCTGCTAATTTGGTGACGATGCAGTGGTGGCAGTCGAGGCTGAGGAGTGCTGCAGTCTGCAGGACGCACAATCAACCTTGAGATGATTCTTTGCTCCAGCTACGAATCTTCCGTAACGGCTGTCAGTAGATTTTCTTATTCATCATTCAGTCCCCAGACTCTCAGCTTAGTTCTTTGTCATGCAATAGAAGAGAACATGATCTGTACACTGGGACCTCATTAATAAGAAACAAGAGTAAGCAGGTTTGACATTCCTTATTTTAGCCACCAGGAAGTGATGAAACTGTAGGATGATATGGATCATCCTGTTTTATTGTGTTAATTACATCATTGCCTCAGCCAGACGGTTTATTCAAATTGCAAGTGGCTACATAATAGATGAGCGCATACAGGAATGGTGCGTGAAATGCTATTTTTAGATATTACTTCCGTCTTTTACATTAATTCATCGAAAATGTACACCACAGACTTTCCATCAACCAAGGCCATAGTTGTCTTTGTGCTAATTTAGAAAACATCTGCATAATGCTTCACTGGTCTTTTACTGATGTTTGAACTTTCATCCTTTGGAAACTGTAGTGCGGGTAAAATGTGCTTGAGTCTTTGCCAATTGTGTGGAGTCCGTCTTCAATGGTGGAGTAATTACCTGCCAGCTGTCAAGCCCTGTTTGCTTTGAGACAGTTGGCCAGACGTTGCAGTCAATACTTTCCTCTTCATTCATTGCAAACATCACCTAGATTTGATTTATAGCTAAGACCGTTGCCTCTGGGTCAAAGAACAGGAGACAAGTAAAGATGAACGATCAGCAAAATTGTCTTTCTGTGGTTCCTTTGGCCTTTTGTACAGCAAAGGTTTGCACTTTTACCGTTTTAACTCTCAGTATATGCTCACTACAACTTCCGAGTAGTATTTTGGCCAGAAACCTTTGCAGGAACTGTGCTGAAATGGCTGAACACCACAGCGTCGTCCTTGGAGACTTGATTTACACTTGTGTTGCACAAGACAACATGGTTTTGGAGCAATCCGCCCTTTTCTGACATAACCGGACAGCTAGCTATCACTAACACAACCTGATGCAAAACTTGCACACAGTTTCTGCTTTAAAAAAAATAACGTGACTTTTTTTTTCCTACAGTGATGGTTATTTATTGTAGTTCTCACAGTGTCCTCAGAACACATGCATTTCGTCTAGACTACATGGGCTCTTCGGCCCGATTTAAACAAGCAGAACATTTTGGGCCAGTAATATACATGCTGCAGATTGCATATGTCCATTGGGACAGTGCTTGGCAAATGTTTCTGCTCTACTTTTCCTCCTCGTGTATTCCACAACACAAATGATTGTGGTTTTGTTTCTCGTCATGAGTGGCAGAAACTCTTCTCATTTTGAGACAAATGTATATTAACTAAATATCGCAGCCCCCTGTTGTGTGAAACCCAAACGCACACGGTTGATAACCTCTCCAGCAAAGAATTACCTCATATTCTTTATTGAGTCAGGCAGTAATACGTTCCCCTGTAGTGCGCCAACACCACAATTTGAATCAAATTCCCTGCTAGATTTGTCAGTAGCTGAATTCTGAGCATACTGTATGAATGTTGAGGATCTACGTAATTAAGAAGATAACAGGGGGAATATAATACAGGCCCTTTTTAAAGTGCTTTTCAAATCTCAGTGTCAGTGTGGCTGACTGAGGCTGCTGAAGTTCATTTGTCATTGCCTGAGTCACTGTAGGGAGGCAATGACAGAAAGGGAGAAGGCTCAGCAGACCTCCAGAGCAACAATATAATATTATTTAAGCGAGGTCACAAATCCTTCAGTATGTCTACACTGGGGAAAGAGGGATGGGCGCCTCGTTCCTTTTAGGGAATACGGTCGTAGACAGGAGGCAGTAATTAAATTGACAAAGAATTAAGTATTAGTTATTAAAAGATATTATATTTCTATTTTTCCCATTTATGTCCTAAAGTAAAGGGTTTTGACTGCTCACAACCCACAAAAGTCTCCATCCTCACGTCGTTCCGCCCACAAAACCTTTACATGTCGATTGTGACCCACTCCCCTGGTTTAGTGTTCTCTGACCTTGTTCTGATACCTAGCAGTGGATTATTTCTCTCAATCAAGATGTATTATGTAACCACTAGCCTGAGAGGATTATAGAAAAATATTACAGAATGTAGTCCAACGAACCATTAAGACGCGGCCCTACTTTCTGTCGTGTGCTGCGTAAATAGCAATCTCCCATAACCAACATCACAGGATGAAGTTCCTGCCATTACTACACTTATGATGACAACGATGGTGATGATAGTAATATAATCTTTAGCAAGCGAGACTTGGATAAATACATTCATTACATGTTTCAAAGTTACATTAGAACTGTGGCGAGTCTCATCCGATCCCACTAGAATGACTACGGACAGCAGGGAGGAGAACAGTCTTTATTTAGATTTTGATGGCGACAATATGACAATCTGGCTATTAACCGACTATAGTCGTCGAATGGATTAGAAGCAAGTGAGCGACCGTTGTTGTGTTCAAATTATTATTTTCACAGATTTACATTAAGCGATGCCGCCTCGCATCGTTCCCCTCATTCATCCCATCCCAGCGTACGGATTACAGTTTGATTACATATAAACATATTTATTAATTAGCGAAAGTCGAAAACAACCATGAACCTCTATCGGCAGGATTAAAACAGATTTAGTGGCTGTGTTGAGGAATTTAAACAACTCTGCTCTATTCCGTTAAGAAAGTCAATCCAATTGAATTGTCTGGACAAATGCTGCACTTTTAATTAAATAAATAATCAACTATAAGGCACCATCCATGTGTTGTTGATCAATCAGATACGTCAGCATTGTGATCTAAAGTGTATACGTGTATTTTCCATTCATTACTGTGGATCCTCTTTTTTCCTGTCACTTTGATGTTGCGCTGTTTGAAGCCTTAGAGTCATAAATTCATGTACGCTGACAAACCTATCAGCATATTTCCCAGTTGCAGTTTTCCATGGCTGACTGGGGAAGTTCTCATTTTATGGGTCGGCTTATTAGACAACAAGTCGTCCGTCTAGAGAAAACAGCAGCAGCAGCATAGGGGGCGAGGAAGGTGATGATAATGATGACACACTCTGGGAGTACTAGGCTCTGTTAGCTTTATTTTCTGATGGATTCTTTCTTCCAAACCCACCACCGCTAACAGAATATTCTTAGCACTCCCCAGGCATATTCTGTAGGTGGATAACTCTTTATGTTGCTTTATTTTTGTTATTAACAGTCATACGTAGCTACACTGTGTAAAGGTGCAGTGATTACTTTCCTTGCTAATTGGTTTCCTGACCACCTTCCCCTAGGAAATTTTTATGCATTTAAGCACACCGCAGATGCCTCACAAATTGACTTTAAGCATGATTAAGCAAATTGTTTTTCAATGAACTATGGAAAGGCATCTTGTATTTGCATCAAGCATGCCGTACACGTAAACAACACAGGAATATTTGAGCCTTTTTCATTTTAATCTCAGTATTTTCTTTTTGTGAGACTCATCAGAGAGAGAAAGCCTCCCGCCCGCAGCGCTGGATGACATCATAGCTCCCAGAGCTGCATGACCGAGTAGAGAAAGTTGGAAAGACAGCGGGAAAGGGCCTGCAGGGAAAAAAGCGCAGCCTCCCACGCCATGCCGGTCCAGCTACACCGGACCACATGCCACCCTATGCAGCCAAGCCGTGCCATTCTTGATTCCCCTGTGGGCAAACAAAGACCCCTTTCAGCCCAGTCCCCAGTGTGGTCGTGCAGAGCAGAAGCAATCTGTTCCTCTCGGCTGCTCGCTGGGAAGTGACCCAGCCTTTTCCTTGCTACAGCTTTGCAGGTTCGTGCAGCGCTCCACCAGCAACGCGGTTTCTGCTTTTCGAATTCTCCGCTTGGTCCCGTCCGTCTTAAAAAAGTCATGAAGACTATAACAATATAAAAACTAATGGTTATGACACATTTAAGGAATATTGTTTATACTTTCGACTTTATTTTGTCACTCATCTCCGCCATCGGTTATGGAAGATGAGCAGGAAAGTTGATGAATGAGCAGTACAGAGTTTAGAAATGATAACCTTTCAGCCAGCTTTCACCTCGCAATATAAAGGCACAACACATGTAACCATTGATGTGCACAACAAAAATGGTATCTGAAAAAATCTAAATCAGGTGTGGCAATGTAGCAATTCAAACACCATATGTTTTACAAAACAAAAGTTGGTTACGTAAATTTCATAGTTTTCATAGTTTGTATTCTGGCATTTGTTACGGACCTGCCTGCTCCTCCTCCTCGTTTTGTCTATTTGCATCTCCCCTACAGGTGAGCGGAGCACAGGTGTGACGGGTTTCCTATGATTCCTTCCAGGAACACCTGGGATGGCTTTATGTATCCTGAGGGGTTTAAAAGCTGGGGAGACCTGGTGGAAGGAGGGCTGCCGCTTCTCCTTCTCTCCCGCACCGTTTTGCTGATTTTGTTTCCTTTTACATGACTTTTCATATACCCTGATTGCATACGCTTTCAGTTCTCCTGACTAACACTTATACTGACTTTATTTACTTTACGTTGCTCATTCGTTGTCCTTAATAAACGGTATTTTCTTTCAATCAACTCATCCGCGTGGTCTTCCCTCTCTGTTGCATGGCCAGGCACAGGCAGAATGTAACAGAATTGGGGGCTCGTCCGGGATCTTTCCAAAACGACGTCGGTAAATATATATATAAAAAAAAATATATATATATATAATAATTTATGCGTTTGAATGTATTGAGACCGTTTCGTTTAGGTGCGTCTGATTCGGAAAGTGCTTTTGATCGTTCATTGATTTGAACGTGTTTTTTTTGGGAAGACTCATGCGGATTAAGGTGAAAATCAATTGCGTTTGGAACAATTGGTTTATTTATTTATTTTGTTGGTGCGTGAGAGGAGGAGAACAATTAGGTAAATTTGTACCTTGGCCGTCGTTAAAGTAGGCCAGGTTGAAGTATTGGCGGTGAGCGATTGTTTGACAAGTGTAGGTCTGCACTGCGCGTCAAGATTGATTGATTTGATAAAGTATTCGATAAAATTATCAGAGCTTTACGAGTGCCTGTTAGTTGTAATGTTTGTTATTTTAGTTTGTTATTTTTGTGCTATCCTGGGCAGAGGGCACCGTCGTGGAAGCCTTCTTTAACGGCATTTTGTCGGGGAATTTAAGGCTCCGCTGATATAGTGTAATAAAAATCTCTGTCCTTGGGATATGCATGAAGAGGATCGCTATTTTTTCTTTCTTTTTACAGGGCAGCTCTGTTTTGTCTCGTCTGATGCGCAGTGTGGTAGCCACATTTGCATTGGGAAAAGGTGAGCTTGTTATCTTTATTTGCAAGAATTGTATGGGGTAAAAATCGTTTCATTTGTATGGCTAGTTTGGAGGATTTTTTTGTTACTCCATCCGTGGAGGTTTTGAATAATTTGACAAAGGATCAGTTGCGCCGGGTTTGTGACCATTATGGCCTTGACTTAGGTTTACCAAGAACAGCAAAATTAGCCCACATTAGATTGTCCGTTCAGGCTGAATTGGTTGTTAAGAATATTTTGTCACCTGAATCTAAAATTATGGATGATTTGGGAGAAGCACTGTCGACACCTCATTCGACAGGGTGTTCTAAGGTGGCGCTCACGTTTGAGCAACAAAAGGTGTTGCTAGAAATGCAACAGGAAGAGAGAGAAGCTCAACGTGAGGCAGAACGTCAAGAGAGAGAAGCTCAACGAGAGGCAGATCGACAGGAAAGAGAAGCTAAACGCGAGTTAGAGATGGAAAGAATAAAAAGTGAACGTGATGTGGCGTTGGAACGGCTAAGACTGAGTGCTGAAGGTAGGCTTCCAGTTGATGGGGAGGAGGGTCCTGCTCCTAGGGAGTCTGTGCGTTCCCCTGATATATCTAGCATGGTTAGGTTGCTGCCAAAATTCAATGAAAGAGATCCAGATATTTTCTTTTCTTTATTTGAGAGTGTGGCTGATGACCGTGGCTGGACTGACTATGAAAGAACGTTGCTAATCCAAAGTGTTCTTGTAGGTAGAGCGCAAGAAGCGTTTATTGCTTTGCCTGTACCAGATCGAAAAAAGTATGTCAAAGTAAAAGAGGCAGTGCTTAAAATGTATGAATTGGTTCCTGAGGCTTATCGTTTGCGGTTTCGCAGCTGGAGAAAGGGAGAAAAACAGACTTATACAGAGGTAGCGAGGAAATTGTACAGCCACTTTAATCGTTGGTGCTCCGCGGTGGGAGTCACTACTTTTGAAGAATTGTCTAACCTGATTGTTTTAGAACAGTTCAGAAACATCCTGTGGAAGCCGCAGTTGTGGCTGACGATTTTGCTTTGACACATAAGTATAGTTTAAAAGACACAGGTCAGATTTATCAGGAAAAACGTTTTGGACGTTTCAATAGAGCTTTGGGGTCTTCTTCTTCGGGTTCATTTGAGTCACCTACTCAGAGTAGAGTAGATTCACATTCCAATCAGTCACACAGAGGTGCTGTGAGTTTTCGCAGAGAATCTAGGTTTTCTGCGTTTGCACCTGCCAGTCAGGCTAAGAATGATGCTGATGTGTGTCGATACTGTTTGGAAAAGGGGCACTGGAAGAGAGACTGTCCTGTGTTAAAGGGGAAAAGTCAGAGAAAGGGTACTGAGGTTGTTAGGGGGGTCACACTTGCTGTATCTGAGCCTGTTAGACCTGCTAAAGTTGTGATGGGTGAGACCGAGGTTAAATCTGAAGGCATTGTGACGCCATTTCAGCTATCAGGCCTTTGCTCTGTTGGGGCCAGTGAGAGAAACGGTGGACCTGACTCAGTTGTGCCTGGGGGAAGTGGTTATTTTCCTTTTGTTACGGATGGGTTAGTTTCACTGGTGGGTAGTTCCAACCAAGTGCCAGTTAAGATACTTAGGGACACAGGGGCGTCTGAGTCTTTTATCTTGGAGTCTGTATTGCCTTTTTCTGCAGACTCTAGTACTGGGAACAATGTTTTAGTCCGGGGGATTGGGTTGCAAGTTGTCTCTGTTCCATTGCACAGGATTAATCTGCAGTCGGATTTGGTGCTAGGGGAAGTAAAAATAGCAGTTCGCCCTTCTTTACCAATAGTCAAGTCAAGTCATTTTATTTTGTATAGCCCAGAATCGCAAATTACAAATTTGCCTCAGAGGGCTTTACAGTCTGTACACATACAACATCCTCTGCCCCGAAACCCACCATCGGCACAGGAAAAACTCCCCAAAAAATGAAAAAACCCTTACAAGAGGAAAAAAAGGGAAGAAACCTTAGGGAGAACGTCAGAGGAGGGATCCCACTCCCGGGATGGACAGACTACAATGGATGCCATGTGTACAGAATGAACAATGTATAATACATGCAATTCCTATGACAGAAATGATTCAAGTAATTGTGAGTAGTAAGCCAGGCGCACAGCAGGACCACTGCAGGGGCAACCACCATCAGATAGAACCACCATCCACAGAATCCTGTGGGGAGGGAGAGCACAGAGATTTTAGGAGAGGGTAATGTCGGTTTATGAGTAAAGTAATATGATTAATATCTAAATAATGATGATGATGATGATGGCAGCAGCAGGCGTCAGCATGGCCACGGTAGGTGTCAGGACCAGGGTCCCGAAGGAACCACGATCTACGGAGACCTGATAGGGGCGAAAGCACAAAAAAAACTCCCGGAAAGAAGCTGAATTAGTCATGTGCATTAATAAAACTTGAATTATGGTAGAACGAGAGCGTAAGAGAGGAGCTTGGTGTGTCCTAAGAATTCCCCCGGCATTCTAAGCCTATAGCAGCTTAACTAAGGGCTGGTCCGGACTAACCTGAGCCAGCCCTAACTATAGGCAGAATCAAAGAGGAACGTTTTAAGTTTTACTTTAAAAGAGCTGACCGAATCTGCCCCCCGGACTGAAAGTGGAACCTGGTTCCACAAAAGAGGAGCTTGATAACTGAAGGCTCTGGCCCCCAGCCTACTTTTTAAAACCCTAGGAACAACAAGTAACCCAGCATCTATGGAGCGCAGTTGCCTTGTAGGGCAATACGGTGTTACAAGCTCTTGAAGATACAACGGTGCCTCACCAGCAAGTGCCTTGTAGGTGAGGAGAAGTACCTTAAAATCTATTCTTGATTTAACAGGGAGCCAGTGCAGAGAAGTTAATACAGGAGTGATATGATCCCTTTTCTTAGTTCTTGTTAATACACGTGCTGCAGCATTCTGAATCAGCTGGAGAGGCTTAAGAGATTTATAAGAGCAGCCTGATAACAAAGAATTACAGTAGTCCAGTCTGGAAGTGACAAACGCATGAACTAATTTTTCTGCATCACTTTGAGACAGGAAGTTCCTGATTTTTGATATGTTACGTAGATGAAAATAGGCAGTCCTTGAAGTCTTCTTTATATGCGAGTTGAAGGTCATATCCTGGTCGAAGAGAACTCCCAGATTCCTGACGGTGCTGCTGGGTACCAGAGCAATTCCATCCATAAAAACTGTATCACGCGACAGCTGGCTTCGAAGGCGCTCTGGGCCTATCAGGATAACTTCCGTTTTTTCTGAGTTTAGCATCAGGAAGTTGCCGGTCATCCAAGTTTTGATGTCTCCAAGACATTCTTGGAGTCTAACTAACTGGTCCGTCTCTTCTGGCTTGATCGACAGATACAGTTGAGTATCGTCTGCATAACAATGGAAGTTTATGCGGTGTTTCCTGATAAGATCGCCCAAAGGAAGCATATAGAGGGTAAATAAAATCGGTCCAAGTACAGAACCTTGTGGGACTCCGTGACCAACATTGGTGGTCTTTGAGGATTCACCGTTTACAAGCACAAACTGGGATCAGTCCGATAGGTAGGATTTAAACCAGCTGAGTGCAGTTCCTTTGATACCAATTAAATGTTCTAGTCTCTGCAACAGGATACAATGGTCTATGGCATCAAATGCGGCACTGAGGTCCAGCAAGACAAGAAAAGAGATGAGTCCTTGGTCCGATGCAAGTAGAAGATCATTCGTAATTTTCACCAGTGCTGTTTCTGTACTGTGATGCACTCGGAATCCTGACTGGAAATCCTCGAACAAAGCATTGTTTTGTAGAAAGTCACATAATTGATTTGCGACGGATTTCTCAAGGATCTTAGAGAGGAAGGGAAGATTAGAGATAGGTCTGTAGTTAGCCAACACCTCTGGAGCAAGAGTAGGTTTCTTAAGAAGAGGTTTAATTACAGCTACCTTGAAGGACTGTGGTACATGTCCTGTCAACAAAGACAGATTCATAATATCTAATAAGGACGTGCTAACTAAAGGAAAAACTTCCTTAAGCAGTTTGGTCGGAATCGGATCCAAGAGACAAGTAGAAGATTTAGACTTTGAAAATAAAGAAGTCAGTTGATCAAGGTTGATGGAAGAGAAGGCATCCAAACAGGCATCAGGCCCCACTGCTGCATCCAAGGTTCCTACATCGGAGGACAGGTCGGCACTGGTTGAAGGCAGGAGACCATCAATTTTCTCTTTGATAGTCAGAATCTTATCATTGAAGAAGTTCATGAAGTCGTTACTAGTGAGGTCCAAAGGAATACACGGCTCGACAGAGCTATGACTCTCTGTCAGTCGGGCTACAGTGCTGAAGAGAAACCTGGAGTTGTTTTTATTTTTCTCTATTAATGATGAGTAATAAGATGCTCTTGCGTTACGGAGAGCCTTCTTATACGTTTTAGGCTGTCTTGCCAAACTAGCCTAGATCCTTCTGATTTGGTGGAACGCCATAATCGTTCAAGCTTCCGCACAGTTTGCTTTAGGTTCCGTGTTTGAGGGTTATACCACGGTGCAGACTTCCTTCTTGTTGCTATTCTTCTTTCCAGAGGAGCAATAGCGTCCAGCGCCACTCTCAAAGAGCCTGTAGCAGTATCGACAAAATTATCGATCTGAGACGGACTGAGGTTCTCACAGGAGTCTTCTTGTATCTTGAGGCAGGGCACTGAACTTAGAGCAGAAGAAATGGCTTCTTTAAATAAGGCTACAGCGGTATCCGATAAGCGTCGACTGTAGAAACCTTTGGCAGGAGGAGGTGGTTCTGATAGTAGAAATTCAAAGGTTATCAGACAATGGTCCGACAGGAGAGGGTTCTGTGGAAAAATTGTTAAATGTTCAATCTCAATCCCATACACAAGAACCAAGTCGAGAGTGTGGTTAAAACAGTGAGTTGGTTTATTTACACACTGACAGAAACCAATTGAATCTAACAATGAAAGGAATGCAGTACTAAGGCTGTCGTTGTCGACATCCACATGAATGTTAAAGTCACCCACAATAATTACCTTGTCCGTTTTAAGGACCAAACTCGTTAAGAACTGTGAAAATTCAGAAAGAAATTCTGAATAAGGACCTGGGGCCCTGTACACTATTACAAAGAGAACCGGCTGGATTATTTTCCAGGTCGGTTGCGAAAGACTGAAAACCAGGCTTTCAAATGAGTTATAATCCACCTTAGGTTTAAAGTTTATTAAAAGGCAGGAGTCATAAATAGCTGCCACTCCCCCCCCTCGGCCTGTGCCTCGGGGAATATGAGTATTAACATGACTCGGAGGAGTCGCTTCATTTAAACAGAAATATTCCCCATTCAACAACCACGTTTCAGTAAGACAAAATACATCAACATGGTGATCTGATATTAGTTCATTTACCAAAACAGCTTTAGATGACAGAGATCTGATATTCAAAAGACCCCCTTTAATTCTCCTATTTTGTTGCACTATTGCATTATTAGTTTTAACTTTAATTAAGTTATTTACTACAACTCCTCGGTTGTTTACCTTTAACTTAGATAAGTGTGTCCGTGGGGCAGACAAGGTCTCTATAGGGTTCATTATGCTGAGTGACTGCTCAGATTGAAGCGCAGAGAAGTGTGTAAGACTGCGACTCTGCTCCCTGGTCTGAACTCTGGGTCATGGATTAAGTCCACTAAGAAACTGGGTCAGGTTCTTAGAAAGAAGTTCAGCTCCGTCCAAAGTGGGATGGATGCCGTCCCTCCTAATCAGACCAGGCTCTCCCCAAAACGTCTTCCAGTGATCAACGAAGCCCACATTATTTACTGGGCACCACCTCGACAACCAGCGGCGGAATGACGACATGCGGCTATACATGTCGTCACTTGTCAAGTTTGGGAGGGGGCCAGAGAAAACTACGGTGTCCGACATTGTTTTAGCGTATGTACACACCGATTCCACATTAACTTTAGTGACCTCCGAGCAACGTAATCGGGAGTCATTACCGCCGACATGTATTACAATCTTACTGTATTTACGTTTAATCCTTAGCCAGCAGTTTAAGATAAGACTCAATAAAGGGCGTCCATCTTCTTTTAGGTAACAACCTGGCTGTAGAACGTGTCTGGCGTGATGTACTGCCCCCTGTAATTGTTAACAATGTTCCTTCTATTCCAGCCGACAGTGATGTTGGTGGTCAGAATTTGACTGTCTTTACAGCTTGTGCCGTGACACGGGCTATGAGTCGTGCCTCTAATGATGATGTTTCTCAGAGTAGAGAGTTTAAGTCTGTTGTTGTGCCTAATTTACCACCATCTCTCTCTCATAGTGATTTTGTTGCAGCTCAAAAGGAGGATGCAACATTGAAAGATCTGTTCGTTAGGGTGTTAACGCCTGTGGAGTTGCGAAATGCATCGCGAGGGTATTTTATTCAGGATGGGTTGTTGATCCGGAAGTGGTCCTCTCACACTGACGACGGGGTTGATGATCCAGTGTTTCAAGTGATAGTACCATGTAAGTTTAGAGACCTGGTCCTACAGACAGCTCATGGGAATGTAGCTGGGCACTTGGGGGTTAGAAAAACCTATGACCGTCTTATGAAGTACTTCTATTGGCCTCGCATAAAGAAGGATGTGGCAGCCTTCATTAAGACGTGTCATGTATGCCAGTTGACGGGGAAGTCAAATCAGGTGTTAAAGCCAGCTCCACTTTACCCTATTCCAGCTCTAGGGAAACCATTTGAAAATTTGTTAATTGATTGTGTAGGACCATTGCCTTCATCTAAGTCAGGGGGTGTTTACCTGCTGACGGTAATGTGTCAGTCTACCCGGTATCCCGCTGCCTATGCGTTGCGTACAATCACAACTAGGTCGGTGGTGAAAGCCCTTTCACAGGTTATTTCCATCTTTGGTATCCCTCACACTATACAGAGTGATAGAGGCTCTAACTTTACGTCACGCATGTTCAGAGAGGTGCTCGAGCAGTTGCGTGTGAAACATCAGCGTAGTAGTGCCTATCACGCCCAGAGCCAAGGTGCTCTGGAGCGTTTTCATCAGACACTGAAGTCGCTTCTCAGGGGTTATTGTGTCGAGCTTAACAGAGACTGGGAAGAGGGACTCCCATGGTTGATGTTGGCGGCACGAGAGGTAACCCAGGAGAGCACGGGTTTCTCGCCTAATGATCTGGTCTTTGGACATAGAGTTCGGGGGCCTTTAGCGGTCTTACAGGGGAAGCTGAAATGTCCTGAGTCTCCTGTTAATTTGTTCGACTACGTAAATGGTTTTCGTCGTAGGTTGTTTTTAGCCTGTGAGATGGCGACAGACAAACTTACAAAAACCCAACAGAAAATGAAGAGTCGGTATGACCGTTGAGCTGAGCCAAGGGTGTTCAGTCCTGGGGATCAGGTATTAGCATTATTACCGATAGCAACATCTCCGTTCCTTGCAAAATATACAGGTCCTTATAAGATTGTTCGAAAAGTGTCAGACCTCAATTATTTACTTTCTACACCCAATCGTAGGCGTTCCACTCAGCTCTGTCACATAAATCTGTTGAAGTCCTACTACAGCAGGTTTCCAGTCTCTGCGGCAGCAGAGTCTAGTGACCTGGTTATTCCAGTTTCTTTAGCCGCAGTTGTCGGGGCTCCTAGGGCCATTGAGACTCCCTACATGGGGGCAGAAAGTAGTGGTGAGGATGTGGTAGGACCTGATGACTGTGTGCTGAAACCTCGTCTGAGGAACTCTGAGAAACTGGCAGAGTTAAATACATTGTTTGGACATTTGCCAGGGGAGCGTGCATCAGAACTGTCGTCTTTGTTGTCTGATTTTCCTTCTCTATTTTCAGATACACCATCATGTACTCATTTAATTGAGCATGATATTGATGTTGGTGATGCAGAACCAATAAGACAGCGGTTCTATCGGGTGTCACAAGACAAACAGCGACACCTAGAGGCAGAGGTGAAGTACCTGTTGGAAAATGGTTTGGCTAAGCCTTCCTATTCAAGTTGGGCTTCACCCTGTATATTGGTCAGTAAACCTGATGGGACTAATAGATTCTGTACCGATTATCGTAAATTGAATAACATCACAAAATCAGATTCTTTTCCACTCCCAAGGGTTGAAGATTGTGTTGATCGGGTAGGATCAGCAAAGTTTGTGAGTAAATTTGACTTATTGAAAGGATATTACCAAGTCCCATTGTCATCTCGAGCTCAGGAAGTTTCAGCCTTTATAACACCATCTGGGTTATATTCCTATTCGGTTATGAGTTTCGGGTTACGAAATGCTCCAGCCACATTTCAACGACTTATGAACCGTGTTGTTTCTGGGTTGCAGGGATGCGCTGTGTACCTCGATGATGTGGTTGTGTATAGCGAGGAGTGGTCTGAACATCTGGACCGTATTCGGGCTCTCTTTTCTAGGCTTGTTGCTGGCCTCACTGTAAATCTAGCCAAGTGTGAGTTTGCCCAGGCTACAGTTGCATACTTGGGGAAGATCGTAGGGCAGGGGCAAGTGAAGCCGGTCCATGCTAAGGTGGTGGCTATTGATAAGTTTCCTGTCCCTACCAACAAAACAGAGTTGCGGCGGTTTTTTGGGCATGGTAGGGTATTACCGCAGCTTTTGTTCAAACTTTTCTACAGTAGTAGCCCCTTTGACTAATCTGTTAAAAGATAAAGTGAAGTTTGAATGGACTGTGACCTCTCAAACTGCTTTTGATAATGTCAAGTTGTTGATGACTTCTGCCCCAGTTTTGATGGCACCCCGTTTTGATCAGCCTTTCCAGATGCAGGTTGACGCAAGCCATGTGGGCGCTGGTGCGGTGCTCCTGCAGAGTGATGAGCAGGGGGTGGATAGGCCAACATGTTACTTCTCAAGAAAGTTTAATTGTCATCAGTTGAATTATTTGACTATTGAGAAGGAAACATTGGCGTTAATCTGGGGTCTACAGCAGTTTGATGTGTATCTAGCTGGGGGCGCTGTTCCTATCACTGTCTACTCGGATCACAATCCACTGACATTCCTCCACACTTTAAAGAGTCCTAGTCAGCGCCTTATGCGTTGGGCTTTATTTTTGCAGCCATACAATTTGCACATACGGCACATTCGGGGCGTGGACAATGTCATGGCTGACGCTTTGTCCCGTGCTCCGGGTGGGCTGGAGTGAATGCTTTGCCTTGGCCTCTATCTCTCTCTCTTCCTGTTTCTCCACTCTTCTTCCGCTTAATCTCCTTAAATGTAGCTTTCCAGGTACCGGGATTTGCGGGAGCTCTTGGTATGCGGGAGGGTGATTGGAGCTGCTGGAGAGTAGAGTGGTTTTTGGCCCGTGGACAAAAGGGTTCCTGTGTCCAGTCCATGTGAATGGGCTGTCAACATACCGAAACGAAAGTTAAGTGCTCATTTTGAGTTTATAGAAATCATTTTTTAAAAATTAAGAATGTTTTGTTATTTTGTTGTGTGGGGTTTCGAACATTTTTTTTGCAGAGGCCTTTAGGCGCCTCTGTCTTAAGGGAGGGGGTGTTACGGACCTGCCGGCTCCTCCTCCTCGTTTTGTCTATTTGCATCTCCCCTACAGGTGAGCGGAGCACAGGTGTGACGGGTTTCCTATGATTCCTTCCAGGAACACCTGGGATGGCTTTATGTATCCTGAGGGGTTTAAAAGCTGGGGAGACCTGGTGGAAGGGGGCTGCCGCTTCTCCTTCTCTCTCGCACCATTTTGCTGATTTTGTTTCCTTTTACATGACTTTTCATATACCCTGATTGCATACGCTTTCAGTTCTCCTGACTAACACTTATACTGACTTTATTTACTTTACGTTGCTCATTCGTTGTCCTTAATAAACGGTATTTTCTTTCAATCAACTCATCCGCGTGGTCTTCCCTCTCTGTTGCATGGCCAGGCACAGGCAGAATGTAACACATTGCAGTATCCATCAAATACATCACACGTCGTACGTTGTTCCCATCCTGCGGCCTTTAGTCTCGAATGAGGTGGATTCTGTTATGAACGGTAGCTGAAAGTCTCTCTCTCTCTCTCTCTCTCTCTCTCTCTCTCTCTCTCTCTATATATATATATATATATATATATTTATATACAGTATAGAGAGAGACTTTTCTACTAAATCCCCCCATTGTTTTGATGGTTTATTATGCTCCAGGACCAGTACTGGGCAGTTTGGACCAGTGTTCACCTTTACTCCCGTCCTCCCCCCTGGGGGGTGATCTCACATCTCCACTCTGTCAGTCAGCAGACTCTCGTTCCTTTTTACCTGCAGCATCAATCCACTGCCCTCATTCAGTCACTCTCTGCAGTAGTCAAGGTGTGCAAAAAGCCTCGACCTACGAACTGAGAAAGCTTTTGAACCCCCAAGACATTTTAAGGTTATCAAGGACACATTTTATTTCCGGTAGAATGAAGTAAATTGAAGCGTTGTGAAAATCGGTTTTTACTCGTAAAGCAAAGAAGATCCATAGGTGAAAACATGGAATTCTGATGTATTTTTCTTTATTCTCAGCTCTCATTTAGCTCCTCTACCGTGACAGATTGTGTTCTGCCAAAATCAGTAACCCTCTCTTTGTCTTTTTGTCTTATTGTGAGAACCAGTCAATACTTTAGTATGATGTATTTGTCAGAGGTTATTGACTTGTTGTTTTACAACAGTCACATTTCTCCTGGTTCACTGGCAATTATCAGAGCACAGAACAGAAAAACACAACTTATTTTTCATTCCCCTCAGGGTTGACGAAAGACTAATCTAGCAATACATTAAGGAATATATTAGCTTTGTGGATGTTGCAAACCTTGAGACTATGGATAAGCTCGAAGAGAATACCAAATATTTTCTTTAAATAATCCCTTTCTTGTCTCTGACAACTTTCTTACTTTGGCGTTCTTAGTTGGAGTCGGGTATTGAAAGGATAAAAACAAGGAGCTCTACATTTTCTGTCACACAGCAGGCTTTTTCCATTACAATACCGTGGGAGGGAGTCTCAAAATACCCAGTGAAGAAAGGGGTTATTTTAAAGACCCGTGCGTTCCATTGTGTAGATGTAGTTATTGTAATTGGAGGTTTGAAAATGTTCATGCTTACAGTAAATTGGTAAATAAACTTGCTGCCATCTCAGGGTTTGACTTCCGTAAGATGTAATGTTTTCAGTATCTTGTTGATGTTCTCTCTTGTAGGCATTACTGAATCATTTCTGGTGTATCTTTCTGCGTGTTCATCATCATATGTATATGTCTGCATTTATGCAACTCCCTAAAAAAGTCCCTTTTTCTAAATAAAACCAAGACTAAAACAAAAAGCCTCTAGACTCATACATACTCCAAAAGGCGACCAGTGTTGGGTGCCGTTGTGGCTCACTGGGTGGAGCGCACACCATTAAGCCTGAGTCCTTTCCACAGTTGAAGTTTGGCCCAGGGTCCTTGCGGCATGTCAACTCTCTCCCCTCTCTCTCTTTCCCCTGCGTCTCCTATCCGTCTCTCTACATCAGATGAAGCAGAATGATGATGACTGGCATGACAGTGATTGAAGTCTGACGGGAGCAGACCTGAGAGAATGTCTGCTGTCACTGACAATGTTCTCGTTGCAGATTTTTTTTTTTTAATGGCGACGCCAATGAATGTTGTGATCCTACAGTTCAGTTAAACAAGCAGAACTGCATTATCTTGTCTTCTCCTCGGCCTGCATGTAAAGTGTACGTCCAGCTGTTGTCTGATGTTTCAACATGGTATAATAGTTTCGCATGGTAACATTGGTTTATTTTAACGATATTTGTGTGTGCGTGGGTGCAATGTTATGATCTTTCAGTGTCAAATTAGTGGTAAGACAATCATTCAACTGGTTGAGCAAATAATAACATAGGTTGTTCTTCTTTTTCAATTCTTTGCCCAAATGTCCCCAATTCCAAAGTGTTTTACAGTGCGATAGAAAACAAACACTTCCACTTAATAACATTTCTCCTTTGAAACGATTTCAATATTTTATTTGCTAAGCTATTTAGAGTTGTGTCTCACTCACTGTTTTTCATTTGAAGTCTGCCACATCCAATTCAATGCCTTATGTAAGCTGCGTGGGAGATGAATTTGAGACTGTTACTGAAGAAGAGTTAGTGCTATCTTTACATTGTTTATGTCCAAAGAGCATGCATTGAAGAGTAAGGCCTTGAGTAAGAGAGGCTGATAAGATGTGCTGCTATGGGATACTGCTGTTGCCATGAGACTGTCGGACACAGGTTTGAAAAACAGCTCTTTTTTTGAGAAAAGTTGAAACATATATATTAATAACAACGACTGCTGAATGATATTATACAAAGCCTTCTGCTATGATCATGCATCATGCAGTGTTCTCATTGCAGGCAGCTGTAAAAGCTTTTTTTTCTTCAGATTTGTGCTTGAATCACTCGTTTCTTGTGGACTGCTGTCTTATCAGTTTGTCCCTCTGGGTTTGTGTTTAATTGTGTTGAGTAAGTGACGGTGGGAATATCCTCAGATCATCAGTTATGGGGTCACACAAAATGACTTTTGTCTACTAAAAACCAATTGACCCAGTTAACCACGGCACACTTAAAGATATATAATTACATTACATTACATTACAGGTCATTTAGCAGACGCTTTTATCCAAAGCGACTTACATTACACTTTAAACCCATGGCTATTTCACATTTTTGCCTGGGGAGCAATTAGGGGTTAGGTGTCTTGCTCAGGGACACTTCGACATTGTGTTATATGTTATATTCCTGCATACAGGCAGAAACTAAAGCTGTGCAAACCTGTGGTGAGGGAATTCAAGACCTGGACCAGTGAAGCGCTGGAGGATCTTTGGGCGTGCTTTGACTGCACAGACTGGGATGGTTTCAGGACTGCTACTGACAGTCTGGATGAGTTCACAGAGGCTGTAACTTCCTACATCGGCTTCTGTGAGGACAGCTGTGTACCATCATGCACCAGGGTGAGTTACAACAATGACAAACCCTGGTTCACAGCGGAACTCAGAACACTACGCCTGCAGAAGGACCAGGCATTTAGGAGCGGCGACAAAGGCTTGTACACAGAGTCAAAATACAAATTTAGCAAGGCGGTGAGATGCTAAACGACTGTACTCTGAGAAACTCCAACAACAGTTCTCAGCAAGTGACTCTGCTTCGGTTTGGAGAGGCCTCAAACACCTCACTAACTACAAGCCAACAACCCCCCACTCCATGAATGACCTCCGTCTGGCAGACGAGCTGAATGAGTTCTACTGCAGATTCGAAAGACAATGTCCTGATCCCATCCCCCACAGCTCAACCAACCTGCTGCAGTCCCCCTCCCCTCTCTCCCCCAGCCAATCAGGTGCTCACGCCTCTTCAACTATATCACCTTCCCCTCCCCCACCAGCAACGACCCTCTCTATTAACCTGTTCTTTAAAAGACAAAATCCCCGTAAGGCAGCCGGTCCGGACTCAGTTTCCCCTCACACCCTGAGGAATTGTGCCTCAGGGTGGTCAGCTGGTCAGCATTGTGCTTGCTGCTTCAAGGCCTCCACCATCATCCCTGTTCCCAAGAAGCCCAGGATCACAGGACTCAATGACTACAGGCCCGCCACCCTGACCTCTGTAGCCATGAAGTCTTTTGAACGACTAGTCCTGACCCACCTGAAGTCCCTCACCGACCCCCTCCTGGACCCCCTGCAGTTCACCTACAGAGCACACAAGTCTGTGGACGATGCTGTCAACATGGCCCTCCACTACATCCTCCAACATCTGGACTCCCCAGGAACCTACGCCAGGATCCTGTTTGTGGACTTCAGCTCTGCCTTCAACATCATCATCCCGTCTCTGCTGCAGGACAAACTCTCCCAGCTGCACGTGCCCGACTCCACCTGGAAGTGGATCACAGACTTCCTGTCTGACAGGAAGCAGCACGTGAAGCTGGGGAAACATGTCTCAGCCTCTCGGACCATCAGCACCGGTTCCCCCCAAGGCTGCGTTCTTTTCCCCTCTACTCTTCTCCCTGTACACCAACAGCTGCACCTCCAGCCACCAGTCCGTCAAGCTCCTGAAGTTTGCGGATGACACCACCCTCATTGGATTGATCTCTGGTGGGGATGAGTCCCCCTACAGGTGGGAGTCTGGCCATCTGGTGTCCTGGTGCTGTCAGAACACCTGGAGCGCAACGCTCTAAAGACAGTGGAGATGGTTGTGGATTTCCAGAGGAACAGAGGCCCACAGTGTGATACCCTGTGTGACTCCCCGTCACTATTGTGGATTCCTTCCGTTTCCTGGGCTCCATCATCACCCAGGACCTCAAGTGGGAGCTGAACATCAGCTCCATCACCAAGAAGGCTCAGCAGAGGTTGTTCTTCTTGAGGCAGCTGAAGAAATTCAACCTGCCAAAGACGATGATGGTCCACTTCTACACGGCCATCATGGAGTCCAT